TGATCAAGTTCCTCGACGTGTTTCACTTCACCTTAAGGGCATATTTGCACGTAACGACCCAACTATAAATACGATTTTGAAATCTCAACGGCCCTCCCCGTTCGCCGGCAACGACTTTTGTTCCACGAGACAATCGCCTTCGGCCGGAAGTTTCTTGAAGATTCCACCGGAAATTGAGGGCAACCTCCCTCGAGGAGATACTCCCGATTACGGGGCTTCCAGCGAGTGGCGAGATCGCGGACGATACGCCGAAGGAGGACTCGAGGAGGAAGAGAGCCGAGAAGCAAAAAAGTAAACACCGGCAGAAGTATGACGTAACGACCCGCAAGTGTAAATGCGATCGCGATCTAAGCTGGGCCGAATGGCCGCGGAGCCAGCTGAATTGCGCTCGTTACGGCAATTACGGCCCCGGTTGCAACAAATTGAAATCGCGACCAAAAGCGCTGGAAGAAGTGCCGCTTGAAATCGTCGTGACTATTATTATCCAAGAATCGAGGAAGGACCGAGATCGCCGAAGAGCCCGCGAGAAAAACCTCTAAATCAGGCGGCGATTTAAATATCGGGGCCCCGACTAGACCCCGGCATGCCATCGACAGGTATCCGAAAGTGATTACGGAATGCCCATTAGGTTTCTACTATGCAAATTAATGAGGGAAATGGACCTGACAATTATTACGTAATGACTCACCGAGCCAAGGCTCCACGTCCGAAGATCGCGTTAGGTGCAGAACGGTACCAGGGAATGGTATCGGTACATCTTCATGGCCCGTCGTTTGCACCACGAGTAGCCAGACAGCTATTGTTAATTGTTCTCCGTGTAGGCGTCTTTCGATCTCGAACCTTGCATGCTCGTCTATGAGCCGTGACCAGAGTCTTCCTGGAAGTTGCGCGGAGAGTAGGTACTACTGATGTTCCATTATAGTAGTTTAGAGGAATCGTGAGGGCGAGCGATATGCGCTGAAGGTAAAGAATGGAAAGGGGTCCAGAAGAGGGTCGGAAGAGGACCAGAAAAGGACCAGAAGAGATCCAATAGGAGCCAGAAAGGAATCAAAAATGAGCCTTAAGGGAATTTTCCCATGAAAACGTTCGAAACATAGGTACTTTTCATAAATCAATGAATGAAAGAAACAAAACGTAAGGTAAAAGACTTTAAGTACTTTTGTAATATATGTTTAAATTATGTAAAAAGTAATTAAGACTGGCCTGATTTAATATATTAAATTACACCAGACTAAATTTTGTTTCAGTCATTTAAACATATATTATTAAAGAGCTTAATGTTTGTTATCTTATGTTGTTTAGTTTCTCTTCTTATTGATATATGAACATTTTTTGAACATTCGCACGAAAGAGTTCCCAGGGAACTCATACCTTTTGACACGGTGAAAATACTCTTTTTGAAAATATGACAAGTGCCTTTTTGCATGCATTGTCGTAAGATATGTCAATAAGTTTCAGCTTCGCATACTTCATATTTTGCACGCGAGTTAACCGGATATGTGGGTACAAAAATGACCATAAATAACTAGATAGAAGCAAAATTACTCAGTTTTAGTTATCTACTAATACTGTTCACCAATGTTTCTTTACTTTGATAAAATTCCTTTTTAAAATTACTGCATGCTATTGGAAATAAATGAAAATGGTAATTTCGAAGCAAGTACTCATCATGACCCTTCTAAAGGCGGAATACTCTCATGTGATCATTTTATCTGAAAATTTATAACAAACAAGGATATACTTCAAAACACGATTCCGAACATAATTCCAACATTCTTCCACGTAAAATGATAAATAATGATATCAATATGTACCTAAAAGAATGGTTAATAACAAGTTTAAACTGTATTAAAATATATTTCATTTTTTCTGTACATCTTTGTGAAAGGGGTAGTTTTAATACCACCAATAGGATCGAGCCCCCTTGAGGTGAAGTGAAATACGTCGAGGAGCTTGATCGACGTCGGTAAAACAGGTTTTTCTAAATACCTACATTGCCGACGTTTGTTTTTATATTGACAGCCGCGTCGAATTATATTAAGTATTGTACTAAATGTCCGAAACCTCCATCCTCTTCTCGAATCGAATCGAAAACTCCATCTGTCGTTTTCGTACAGTAATTATAAAGAAATCTAAGTAGAATTCCATAAATCCCTTGAATTCGTCGTTTCTGAGGCACTGACTGCAGAGGGACCCCCTGCGCCATCTGTGATTTCCGTGTCAACTAAATTTTCACTCCGAGATCTCGTATTACCATCGATTTAGAATAGTAACGCATAAAATACTTTTTTGCCTTCATCCCCTTCAAATGAGAGTTTCTCGAATACCAGGGTGTTCCAATTTGTCGTACAATTGTCCTGGCACTTGCGTTTCTCTTATTAGAGCCTTCAATAATTGGATATCGATCGCCATATGAGAGCCCGACGCCATTTTGGTTCTGGTCTGGGCTAAGTTAAAAAATTGTTTTCAAAAATCCAAATTTTGAAAGTCTCAGGATAATTCTTAGGTGCTCCCGAGCAATGTATCAAAGTTTCAGACAGTTCTATCCAATAACCTTAAAAAAAAGTGTCTTATTCAAGTCGACTGATTTGTGAAGAGTTTCACTTTGCCTTAAGGTGGTAGGAAAGTGATATCCGAGACGTCAGTCGGTCGTGAAGCTTTTCTCCGAACTGGGTGAACCGAATCGTTTAAAACGTTACAACGTAAACATGAAGACTATAAGGAAGATCCTGACAACCATGAAATTTAATTTTTTTTAATAAAAACTTTTAAAAGTGTATATAAACAAATTTTTTTTAAATTGAAATTTCATGGTTGTCAAGAACTTCCTTGTAGCCTCCATACTCACCGTGTAAAGTTTAAAACGCTTCGGTATACCTAGTCGGGAGAAATGTTTCACAAACTAGGCCTCTTTGAGGCCACTTTCAAATCACCTTAAGGTGATATGAAAATGTGATATATACATACCAAAAAGTCAAAATATTTATAAAACTTTTCTCCAAACTGGGTGCACCAAATTATCTACAACTTTAACACGTGATTATGGAGGCTTAAAGGAAGTACGCGCTGCCCCTGAAATTTCATTTTTCAACAAAAAATATCTTTTTTTAGTTCTTGTCCGAGGCAAGTACAACATTTTATTAATATTTTGACTTTTCGTTATGTATGTATCACACATTCATATCACCTTCAGAGTAAGGGCGACGCAATTGCGAAATAATTTCGACGTATCAAGAGGAAGGGCTCACCTTGGCCGGAAGCGAATCTTGGCGAGACGTGTTCCGAATTTGGGACCTTGATGGTCCCAACGGGCCGCGATGCGCCGCAATTGACCCGCAATGACGCCCACAGCCGCGAGCGAACCGCGGCCAAACCGCGACCGAACCGCGGCCGAATCGTGGTCGAACCGCGAGCGATCATCGCGCACCTGCAGCAGCGTTTCAGATTGTTTTAGGGTCAAGCCGAGACGGGCCTTAATAGGTTCCAGACACGCTTCGTGCCTCGCAGAATCTCCACTGGACCGAGTCGCCTGTTAAGGCCCCGGCGGAGGGTCCGTGCGCGGAGCCTTAATGGCTCTAATGCTCCTGCCTCGCTTATGCGAGCTCGAAATGTCTTCAGCCACGGCCAACGCATTTCCCGCGGCCGGCCGCGTACGTAAACGAGATCGGGTCCCGTTTTTACGGGCTTTCATCCGGATCTGGTCCTGGACTCTCGATCCGGATGAAAGCTCGTAAAAACCGATCTCGATCTGTCCATAAATCAGCGACATCGGGGACGCTAAACGGCCCTGGAAATTAAAAAGGGAAACCCGCCGAACGAGGATCGGGAGTGCTCCGAGTGCGACATCGAGATGCGTCCACGGTGCCCGTTTTGCTTCATTTTGCCGACGCTCGGGATCGATGGTCGATCGAGATATCCGCTCGAAATGTCGGTGCAATTATCGCTGGAACGTAAGTAACGCTTGAAAATATTAGAGGCTGCTTTCGAGCGATTTAAAATGTCCCCGAGGCACTTCATCCGCGACCGGCTCGAGACGTTTGCAAATAGGAAATCGACTTCGACGACCCCGTGATAAACGAGCGACGATTTCGCGGCACCTTTCGGAAATCCGTATTACCGGCGAGTTTCCATGGCAGCCAAGTGGCCGGCGTCGCGACGCCGTGCGTCGACCTCGGCGACGGAAATAGAGAACGGCGTGCGAGCGAAAGACCGCGAGTCATTGCCAAGCGTTGAGGAAGATCGATCGAGAATATCCGAATCTCGCCCCCCTTATCCAGTTTTACCGAGGAATGCGGTCTCCTCGAAAAAGCCGAGCTTTTACTTTCGGATGCAAGGATTGCTATCAACACCGAAGCGAATAACCCCCCCAGTCCCAATTCCGGGTCTTTGGCCGAGAGAACTCTCTGCAATCCGAAATACGCGGTACGTTTCATCTCGTACGAGCACCCAATTACCAAGGGTTCGATCACAAAGAGTGACAAAAACTGAGTCGGATGCAAATGATCCGCGGTATCGGTAATATTCATCCGCCCATATTCGCGAGCGACTCTGTTAGCTCGCGAAAATCCTTTTACTTTCTTCCTCGTGGAATCGCTGACACGATGAACTCCATTTTGACAAAGGTATGATCCGCACTAAGTATGACAAAAGATTCGTACGTGCCAATTATAACGATGGATTTAATAAAAACAACACGGGGAGACGGCTTTCGAGATAACCGTCAAAGTCGCCTTTGCGATATCAATAAAAAAAAAAGCAGATTTACTTGAATAAGTGACTTTTTTGGGGAACAAATATTGAAACGGTATCGCAAAGGGACGTGGTTAACGATCGCGGGTGTATTTTTAGCAGTTGTGGTCTACCCCTGTGTATACTAAAATTTTTCACGCGAGCAATCGGAACGCGGAGAGAAATATTTTCGCAGCCCGCGAATTTTTCCGGTGCTTTCGACATTTTTCGCACAAACCCTTCTACGGCCGGAGCAGCACTTTAGGCCTTACCTGTTCCAGTCGCCGCGTCGAGGCACCTTTGTGCTAGACCGAGGAAAAACCTCGGCGGAACTCGTCACCTTTTGGAGACACGGAGAAAGAGTGAGCGAGAGAAGCGAGATGCGACAGTAATTACGAGTCTTTCGAAAAACCCGACCGAGGTACTTATGACCTTTTAAAGTTCGAGATTCACGGTTCGTTCCAGGAAGCCTCGACAGCCCGTAAAAATCCCACCGACTTCCTTTTCTCGCCAGGTTAACGATCCCCGATCAAACGACGACGATCGAGCCGAACCGGTAGGTAATTAGAAGAAAACCGCAGCCATCTAGGTAATTCGCGTTAACTCCCCGCACTGGCAAGGAAATGCGACAAAAGCGTATTTATACCCCCTAAGGCATACCTTCGACAAGAAAAAATAGTGATTCCCACGAAACCGTCCAATCCCGACGCATAAATAAACAAAAAAGTGCGGTATTCAGAGCACGTACATTGCGGCTTACCCGCAATTCCTAAGTGTAATGAGACTTCCAGCCAGCTCCGGTATAACGCCCAAAGTACTTCCGCAACTCGGAAATAATTCAAACGCTGATTCCCCCCGATCGGATGACAAATCGCGCCCTCGTCAATTCTGTGCTCCGCGTTCAATTGTTCTTATCAGGAGCGAGCGTTCGCGTCGCGTTTATCGCGTCTCGCCTCGAATCGGCCATTTTCCGGGATTAATCCGGGGTTAATTCAGGGGCGGTCGTGCGAATACCGAAGAAACACGGCCACGGTGTAACAGAGGTCGGGTAATTCCGCGACTGGTGTACGGGAATAACGCGAGTAACGCACGTACCGCTGACGTACACGCGCACACGACGCACGTGCGCGCCGCGTATAATGTTACCCGCCGGAGAGACGTACGTTGCCCCAAGGGTCGCAAATATAAACAAACCAACGTCTTCCACATGGCTGGTCGAACGAGTATTATCATCGCACCAAACCTATACGCACGTACACCGGTACACGAAGTGAGACGGAAGACGGGCCGAGAAGAGGAAGAGAGAGGTTGAACGGTCGCGCGGTTCTTACAGGACGAGCTGACCCGAGGGAAGTCCTGCTCGGTTCGCGTCCTGTTACTAATTGGGCCAAGCTATGCCGGAAGGACCCTTTTTTTCCCCGCCGATTGCTAAGTTCCTCTAGGATCCCCGACTAGCTTCTCTATGCCCTCAAATTGCGCTAATCAGAGGTAATTACTCTCCATTGCGCCGCGCTCAAAACGCGTCCGAGATTTTCCAGCGAGAAATATCGCAGCGGAAATCGACACCGACTGAACGTGCACCTTGGCAATAGAAATTATCTGACATATATATTTCGCGAAGCATTAAGTAAAATGGCATCGTTCCGCACGTGGGCGTACCTACTAAGACAAATTGACAAAACTTTTGTATAAATTATTTCTGCAGTGGTGGTTAAGTTGACGTGAAAGTGGCGTCGAATAGGTTTCGTTTATGAAACTGTTCTCCGAACTGGGTTTACCAAATCGTATTAAACCTTACAACGTAAATATGGAGACTATAAGGAAGGTCCAGACCCTCGTGAAATTTCAATTTCTTATTATTTGTTTATAGATATTTTTAAACTTTTGTATAAGAAATGAAATCTCATGAGGGCCAGGACCTTCCTTGTAGACTCCATATTCCACGTTGTCAAATTTGAAACGATTCGGTACGCCCACTTGAGGGAAAAGTTTCATGAACCATCGACCCCTCGGATACCACTTTCACATCCCCTTAAGGCGCTACGTTTGCTTGAAGATTTTGAAAATCTGAGTGCACGGGAAGGCCGATAAACGGTGAGATAAATTTTTTTCTCAAGTTCAATAAAACTGTCGTCCCGCTGAAGCGGTGAGTTCGGAAGACGTCCGTGAGCGTGGCAAGAAACTTTACGATTATCTCGAGATATCGAATCGAAGCTCGATCTGGCCGGTGCGACGAATAAGAAGGTCTTCATTTGGCATCGAGCCCGATTGAATTTTTCCGGGAGAAATCCGCAATCGAGCGAGCGAGAAGGTACTATCGTCGGCAAAAGAGTTACGTAGGCGAAGGGGCTCGTATCGAAGCCGGGGCATCTGGTCTTGTGCTCCTAGCATGCAGATTCCCTCGTATATCAAGGATCTTTCCACGATCCCGATCAGGATCCCCGCTTTCCAGCGGGCTCGCCGATCCTGTTTGATCGCGGCGAATCGAGAGCGTGAGTTAGTCGCGTCCGAGGGTATATCGAGGGATATCTCTACGTCCGCCTGTAGAAGGTAGGTACCTACAGAGGTACGTACAGAGGTACGTAAAGAGGTACCTGCAGAGGTACCGGGAATCCGCAGGATCCCTAGGACTCGTGGCGAGCGAATCGAGAAACGTGAGAGCGTCGCCGATGAAAACGCATAACGCCGATACGCGCGCGCATTAAAGAGGAGTATCGAAGAGAACGAGAGGGGGTGAAGAAAGAGTAAACAGCCGGGAAAAAGGAACGCGTAACGACGCCTTACGAGGCTCGTAAAAGTCGCCCCGGGGCCGCGATTCTCATCGATGAAGTCGCGATATTCGCCCGTTCGACGCCTCGTTAACGGCCCTCGATATCATCCTTATCCTATCCCGCGAGTCCGGATCGCCGTTTGAGCGAAAGTCCCCATTCACAGGATGAAGTTCCACTCCTTATCGACTGACGGAATTCCTCTTGAATACTCGATTCTGGGTGGAGGAGGCCGAGTACAATTGTAACACTTTTAAATGGATTTTGACGCATTACTCAGCAACACCAAAGAAAATGTCGTGTTGCAGTCGTCGCTTCAGTAATACAAAATTAGTCACTAAACTGTAGTTACCTTCGTTACAAATATGTAAAAAAAAAAATGATTCAAGTTAGAGTTAACGCATGTACCCACAACGAGTACGATTGTTACACACCAAGATAATGAAAATAATACGAATTCTTCAAAATAAGACAAATAAAATCTTCTTTCGCTAATAACTCGTGAACAAAAATGAAGAAATCCGTTGGAAAGGGAACGCTAACCATAACTGATGTATTCCGAGTCATCGCAATTTGTGCAGTAAAAATATAAATCCCCTAATTTGTGAGTGTACACGCCTCATGAGCCCACGTTTGCAGACATGGCACTGTGTTCGTGTACACGTACGCATGTATGAACATTTTTAAGCAATTTTGTACATAAATGTTTGACTTACAATTCGGACCGACGTTACAATAGAACCCTCTCCCCTATATTTAATATTTGATTGTTTTTTCCAAACATATCGTCTAACCCCGAAACTCTTACACATAATTAAAAATCAATGTCGAAGCTTTGTCCCCCGCGCTAAACGATTACCACGCTCCTACACCTATAGATGATATTAGGAAACGAATAAGAAATTATTATTTTACTAACAAGCCTCAGAAATAGGAATACTAATACTCCCCACATACCACCTCAAATTGATTGGCCACTTTTTGCGGGATCATGTGAAATAACTTTGAACAAACATAAACAGTATTGCCAATTTTGTTTGCAAATATCTAACATACTGCTAACCAATGTTGTAATTGTACTACATTACACGTGCACGGATCCCTCTTATATATAAACGTGTACATAAAACGTGTACATGGTGTTGCCAGAATTTTTTATTGTAAGTATCTGACGAACTCATAACCAATATTACACTTTTGTCCGATCCCTTCTGCATACAAACGTGTACATAAAAATATCTTTTAATTTTAACGAATCGAATTAATCTTGGAGTATTTAAGGTGAAGTGAAACACGTCGAGGAACTTGATCAACGTCGATAAAGAAGATTTTTCCGACGTTCGATTTTATATTGACAGCTGGGTCGAATTATATTGTGTATTGTACCAAATGGCATATTCCACCTGTCGTTTTCGTACAATAATTATAAAGAAATCGAAGTAAAACTCCAGAAATCCTCTGGATTCATGCCTTCTGGGGCCCTAATTGACTGCGTAGGGACCCCTTGCTCCATCTGTGATTTCCAGGTCAATTAAATTTTCACTCCGAGACCTCGCATTACCACCGTTTTAGCAAAGAAGCGCATACAACACTTTTTTTGTCTTTATCCCGTTCAAATGCGAGTTTATCGATTACCAGAGTGTTCTAAATTGTCGTAAAATTGTCCTGACCCTTTCGATTCTCATATCAGAGCCTTCGATAAATGTATATTGATCGAAATATGAGAGCTCGACGCCATTTTGGTTCTGGTCTGGACTGAGTTAAAAAATTTTTTTGAAAAATCCAAATTTTGTATGTGTCAGGACAATTCTTAGATGATCAGGAGTGATGTGTCAAAGTTTCGGACAGTTTGGTCCAATACCCTTAAAAAAAAGTGTTGTATTCGAATCGACTGATTTGAAGGATGTTTCACTTCACCTTAATGGGCGGTTTCGGGACTGGGAAATGTAACGATACCCGGAACCGAAATTTTTCGGTCCTTTTCAGGCATGGGCGCTGCGGATAAGCTGCATAAACTCGGCTAGCTGCAGGGCGAGGTTCGGCTGAACTCTAGGCTACCCTACTGCATCGATAGGCGTCACCCAGCGGAAATTATTGCCGGGACGACGGCGTGAATACCGGCGGACTTTAATGCTACTAGAGGAATGCAGCGTCCCCGGAGCAACTAGTTACATGCACATTGCACAACTAGTCACTGTCTCGCCATACGTACGGTTGCGTGCATCCATAACGAGGGGAAAAAATGCCGCCGCCTTCGGTGCGAGAATAGAAACGCCCGCGCCAGGGAATAAAATATAAATAATCCGCAGGAAGGTTTCAGGAGCGAAGCTGCGCCCTGGATCCGACTGCACCGAGAGGCAAGGACCCTGGACCAAACCTTCCTATCTCGACCAACGCAAGAAATTATTGATCTGTCGGAGACGTTAAGAGGCAACTGACGAGCAATCACGGGGAAATTTGCGAAAATACGCGCGTGGTTGATTTAACGTCCACGACGCCGTCTCCATCTTCGGCGAATATCGCCTGAAACCCGTTTCAAAACAGAAAGCGATGCATAACACAATGTCGGGTAACATTTCCCAATAACGCGTTAGCATGCAGATCCCTTTTCCATGTTTCTCCCCGAGTCGGCAAGATGCAAAAGAAAGAAAGATACAGATCTCGTAACTGAACATAACATGGGCAGGAAAAGGAACACGTTTTCTATGACTTCTCTATCGATCGACTTGGAAAATGTCTCACCGCAGCTTCTTTCCATTTCCAATCGAGATACTTTTTCCAACAATTTTCAAGAACGTGTCTCCTCTTAGTATCCCCTCTCCGTCAGACGAATTTCATAATTCCCATGTGAATAATAAATAGGATCAACCGAGGATCAACAATGCCCCTTGATAGAAGCGTTTCTGCGTGCATTCGAGTTAGAAATATTAATTTCAGGAAA